TTTTAAACTATCTTTCAGGTGCAGAACTTGGCAGTGAGGAACCAACAGGCCTCTGCTCAAGGAGCCCCGATGCCAGGCTCCTCCCAGAAGGCCATTCCTCCAGGAGCCTCTCCTGTCTCTGGCTTCTCCCAGACCTCAAACCAGGCACTCGCTGTGGCACAGGCTTCTTCGGGGGCCTCAGGCCAGTCCCTCAACCTCAGTCAGGCTGGTGGAAGCAGTGGGAGTAGCCTTGCAGGGTCCCTGGGTCCAGGTGGAGGTAGCCAGGCGCCTGGGGGTTTGGGTCAGTTGCCTTCCTCAGCAATGGGCGGAGCAGGCTGTCCCAGGAAGGGCACAGGAGTTGTCCCACCCCTGCCAGCAGCCCAGACAGTGACTGTGAGCCAGGGCAGCCAGACAGAGGTGGAAAGCGCAGCAGCCAAGAAGGCAGATACAGATGGGAGTGGTCAGAATGTGGGCATGAACCTGACGCGGACAGCCACCCCTGCCCCCAGCCAGACGCTTATTAGCTCAGGTGAGTTGTCACTGCTCAGTGCTGCTGTTTCTCAGAACTTGTTTGAAATTTTCAGCATATCATATATACCTCATCCCCCTTTTCTTGGCTTTGGAGTAGTGGAAGGAAAGTGAATCACATCAACCTTTAATGTGTTAGTCCAGGGACAGGAGGGTTACTAACTGCAAGCAACATTCAGCTTACACTTGCCATCTACTTTCTTAGCTTCTGAATCCCTGGGTTTACTCATCTTTCTGTTTTACCCAGTTCTTATTGAATTGTCTGCTGTATTCTGGGGTGCTGGTAATTTATCTTTGAAAAGCAGATTTTCTGTCCTTCCAGTTTAGTACTGAGGATGACTTCTGTCCTTGCTCGTCATTTCGTGGAATATAGAGTGTAAATGCCTTAAAACCAGCAAACAGAGCCACGGTGTAGTCAAATTGTGATTGTCTGTATCTGTGATAAAGATAAAAAAATAAAACATTATAACCCTAGATTATATTTGCTTTCAGACTGTGGATAAGATGGAATTAGATGTGTGTATCTTACTTGGTAATCTTTTTTGCTGCCTTGGTTCCTGACACTAGTTGTTGATATATTTGAATAATGTACTCGCAAAAAGTTAATTCTTATTGCTAATCATGGGTTTTTAAATACTATCACTTCTATCTCCAAAGTGTGTTCATGTCACACACTCGGTTTCTGGACAGTGTGGTCAAGTATAACACGTGGAGATTGTCAACTTTATTTTACAGTTTAGGAAACTGAATAAAAAGTCAGCACCAACAGCTGCTGACTCTTAAGATTTCTCAAATAGTGACCTAGACTGATGGAATTTAAAAACAGATGGTAACTTTACCTTGGTGGGTGTTTATTCTTTAGGTAACTATTAAATGCTTCCTATTTGACAAACACTGAACTAAGTTCAAAGGGTGTAAGAATGCTTGAGGACGAGGGGCCACTCATTCTCTTCTTCTGAGCAGAGTCAAAGGAGAGGACAGTTAGATATAGCAGAGAAAGTAAACTCAAAAATCACTGAGGTTGTTCCTTGGTTGTGCAAGGAGCTTCCTGTGTGGGATCTTCAACACTAAAGATGTTGGTCATTTCTGGCTCAGTGGAAGGAGAATGGAGGAAGTTCTGTCCAAGTTCTGTGCAGACTCAAATTTCTACTCATGTATGATTCCAAAACTAGTTTGACCTTGGAAAGAGAGTCTTACTTTTAATTTAGGATGGTGCTTTTCAGCCCTTTTCCCACTCCGGGCTTGTTCCCACAGCCACATACACACAGATCCAGCCCCACTCGCTGATTCAGCAGCAGCAGCAGATCCACCTCCAGCAGAAGCAGGTGGTGATCCAGCAGCAGATCGCCATCCACCACCAGCAGCAGTTCCAGCACCGTCAGTCCCAGCTGCTGCACACAGCCACACACCTCCAGTTGGCCCAGCAGCAGCAGCAGCAGCACCAGCAGCAGCAGCAGCAGCAGCAGCACCAGCACCAGCAGCAGCAGCAACAGCAGCAGCCACAGCCGCAGCAACAGGCCACCACCCTCTCTGCCCCTCAGCCGCCACAGGTCCCCCCTACTCAGCAGGTCCCACCTTCCCAGTCCCAGCAGCAAGCCCAGACCCTTGTGGTTCAACCCATGCTTCAGTCTTCACCGCTCTCTCTTCCGCCGGACCCAACCCCCAAGCCACCTATCCCCATCCAGTCCAAGCCGCTCGTAGCGCCTATCAAACCTCCTCAGTTAGGAGCTACGAAGATGTCAGCTACACAGCAACCGCCACCTCATATCCCTGTGCAAGTCGTAGGTACCCGGCAGCCAGGTACAGCCCAGGCCCAGGCTCTGGGCTTGGCACAGCTGGCAGCCGCTGCCCCTGCTTCCCGGGGGATGCCAAGTACGGTGCAGCCTGGCCAGGCCCACTTGGCCTCCTCGCCGCCTTCATCTCAGGCTCCTGGCGCACTGCAGGAGTGTCCCCCTGTGTTGGCTCCTGGGATGACCCTTGCTCCTGTGCAGGGGACAGCACATGTGGTAAAGGGTGCGGCCACCACGTCTTCACCTGTGGTTGCCCAGGTCCCCGCTGCCTTCTACATGCAGTCTGTACACCTGCCGGTGAGTAATGTTCGGTGGTTTTGAAGCTCCCATCAGAGTGGAAAGAGAGTAGAAGAGTGAAGGTTAACACTGGCATTTTTCTGCTCTTTTTATGGAGTGTACTTTATATTTGTAAATTTGTTACTGAAATCCTTCCAAGATTTAGATATATTGTAAGTTAGACAAACACGGCCTGAACAAAATCACTCTCTAGACAAAGACAGCAGTTTTTGATTGGTCTACAGTGAATACAGGGTCTAATGGTCTAAGTCAGGACTGACTGATGTTGTATTTTCTTCTGTCCTGATGTAGATATTACACAAATTGGGGATGACCAAGAATTCTAGTGTATCATGGGAAGTTGTACAGGAGGGAGTGTCTGGAACCAAGAAATTTTTCTCTTGACACCATGGAAAACTGTAGTTCCTTATCCTTCATGTCTAAATCTCACTTTTTCTGTTCTTCACCGTATAGGGTAAGCCCCAGACACTGGCTGTGAAACGCAAAGCTGAGTCTGAGGAGAGAGACGAGGTCTCCACCTTGGCTCCCATGCTTCCTGCCAAGGTGTCTCCAGCCACAGAGAGCCCAAAGGTCGTGGAGGAGAAGAGCAGTCTTTTGGGTAAGCGACTGACTTGTACTGTGCAGTTGGGTGCAGAGGGAATAGAAAAGTAGGTCTTGAATTATACAGAAGATAAGTCTAGTGTGGTGGAAAACGGGCCTGAATTTGGCATCTGGATCCAGAGTGAGTGACAAATGTGAACACTTAACCATCATGTAAGCTCAGCCTGGCTCAGTGGAGAGGTCATGTTGTCCCAAGTCTGTCCTCATTGTGTCCTTGTCTTGCAGAGAGAGCTGACCCAGGTGCCAGTGTGAATGCCAACACCCCCAGTAGTGAGCTTGTAGCCCTGGCCCCGGCCCCAGGAGCACCACCTCCATCGCTGGCCATGGTGTCCAGACAAGTGGGAGACTCGAAACCCCCGCAGGCCATCGTGAAGCCTCAGATTCTTACACACATCATTGAGGGCTTTGTCATCCAAGAAGGAGCGGAACCTTTCCCGGTGAGGGCAGTGCCATGTAGGGAAACTTTGGTAGGCATCTGGCATGATTGTGTTTCCAGATTCTTCTACAAACAAAAGGCACAGAATTACTTAGAGAATGCTTCAGGGGTAACTGTTTATTTTGTTGTAAAGAAGGAAAGAAAAAGGAAAGGTGAAAATTGTAGGAAAAGAAAAGGAAGAAAGTAATGTTTACAACTACTTTCAGGTCGGTAAATTAGGTAGCTTTAGGATGAAGAGTTACGGTAGAGATGAAGGCATTTTCATACTGTGATGCAGCACCAGAACTGGCACTCATCTCTTGACTCCTCTTGTAGCCCTTAGACCTTAGGGAGGACAGGAGCAGACAGGGAAGCAGATGGGAAGCTGTTCTTCAGCGGCCTCTCTGAAAAGAGCCAGTTGGCTCTGACTGCCACGGTAAAAGGGATTCTCCTGAACCAGACTTGGCTTTTAACTCAGACCAGGAAGGACATGATGGGAAATGCTGGGGAGAGCCGAGGGAAAAAAAGAAGTTAGGCTGACTTACCTGTGTGCTTTTTCCTGGGACAGGTGGGTTGTTCTCAGTTATTAAAGGAGTCTGAGAAGCCACTACAGACTGGCCTCCCAACAGGGCTGAGTGAAAGTCAGTCAAGTGGCCCCTTGGGAGGGGACAGTCCTTCTGCCGGTGAGTATTTCCAGGTCCACCTGAGGGTAAGAGGTCCGTAGAGATGTGTCTGAGGACCCAGTGTAAAATAGTTTATTTAAAGTAGGAATTAGATGTTTAATTATACACAGAAACTATACTATATTTCAGAGTAGGCCCTGGGTTTGAGTCTTAGTACTGTTAAAAGCTAAGGGCCAGGGATTTAGCTTAGTGGCACTGTGCCTCCTTTACAAGAACAAGATCATGAGTTCCATCCCTGGTGCTGAGAAAAAAAAAAAAAAAAAAAAGCTATAAAATAACTGTTAAGACATCTATGCTTTTCTTCCCCCTCAGTGCTGGTGATGGAACCTAAGGCCTCACACATGCTAGGCAAATGCTAACCACTGTGGTATATATCATGAGCCCAAAACATAACATGTAAATTCTTAAATTTCCTTTTCTCCTTATTCTAGTCTTATATAAAAAAAAAAAAAAAAAAAAAAAAAGGCTATAAAATAACTGTTAAGACATCTATGCTTTTCTTCCCCCTCAGTGCTGGTGATGGAACCTAAGGCCTCACACATGCTAGGCAAATGCTAACCACTGTGGTATATATCATGAGCCCAAAACATAACATGTAAATTCTTAAATTTCCTTTTCTCCTTATTCTAGTCTTATATCTATATTAAGGACTATTTGAAAATTTCCCCCATCCTCATGCTTTAGTTTTTGAGACAGGGTCTCGATGTGTATTTGACTGGCCTCAAACTCATGGCAATATTGTCTCAGCTTCCTAGTGCTGAGGTTACAGGTGTACACCACCACACTCAAATTCCCTCATGCTTTGGAATCTTTGTGGAGTAAGATCTTAAATCTCTAAGCATTAGTGATTAGTTCCTCTTTTCTATTCAGGAATGGAATCATAATCTTAAGTCTTGAGTTGAATTAGGATAAAATTAGTAAGACATCTAGAATGGAAATTGTCTGGCTTGAGGTTAGGAAGTCCTTAAAGACTTGTAAGTCTTCATGGTATTGGGTTTTAGAGATTTTCACTTAGGCTGTATAGCAGGTAAGTGTAGACTCTGAGAAAGTTAGATTCTATCACAAGCGCAAGGTCCTGAATTCGATCCCTGGTACCCACCCCCCCCAAAAAAAGTTAAATTCTAGCTGTGGGCTAACAATGTCTAAGGGGCAGCAGAAATGCATGGCAAATCTCCAGCAAAACCTTGCTTTTCAGATTTAGATAAGAAGGCAAACCTCCTGAAGTGCGAGTACTGTGGGAAGTACGCCCCTGCAGAGCAGTTCCGAGGCTCTAAGAGGTTCTGCTCCATGACTTGTGCCAAGAGGTACTGTGGGCACCACCCGCCTCCCTCAGCACTGGTTTCTCCACTGGAAGTTACAGCTCTTCCCAGGGCCATCTCACAGCATGTCTCCCTCTTCACTTTCATTTGCTTCCCCAAATCATCTCTGGAGATAGCAATTCAGTTAGGACAGGGCTGGGGATTTAGCTCAGTGGTTCTGTTGCCTGTCTCGCAAGTGCAAGGTCCTGAGTTCGATTCCCAGTATCCCAGTACCAAACATCGTCAACAACAGCAGCAACACCAAAACATATTTAGGGCAGAGGAGTGACTGGTCTCTTCTAGCACCCTGACGTCCTGTCTGTGCCCTGACCTGCAGGTACAATGTGAGCTGCAGCCACCAGTTCCGGCTGAAGAGGAAAAAAATGAAAGAGTTTCAAGAAGCCAACTATGCTCGAGTTCGTAGGCGTGGACCCCGCCGCAGCTCCTCTGACATCGCCCGAGCCAAGATCCAGGGCAAGCGTCACCGGGTGAGCTGCTGCTGCAAAGCCAGCTTTTTTTTTTTCTTTTGGCCACCTTTAAAATGGGGTTTGTGGGACAGTTCCTTTGCCCAGGTTAACAGGACATGAGACCAGAAGCAGGTTTACATCAATTGCATTCCTGGCCTTTTTGTCTCCCGTAACCTGACTGCTGGTTCATGTAGCCATTAATCCTTACTTTCTGTATTTGAGATAATAAAAGGGTAGATTCTAGAGAGTAAGAAAGTTCATACTTGAAAGGCACTTGAGATTAGACTTTGGGCAAATGAAGTGCAGAATATTTGACAAGTGGTAATAGTAGTGGATAGAGAACTCATGAAACTATTAATCCTGACCTGTTTTGCTGTTTTCTCTGTAGGGTCAAGAGGATTCCAGCCGGGGTTCAGATAATTCCAGTTATGACGAAGCACTCTCCCCTACGTCTCCTGGGCCTTTGTCAGTACGAGCTGGGCATGGAGACCGTGACCTAGGGACCACCATTACGGCGCCTCCGACACCTGAATTACACGGCATAAACCCTGTGTTCCTGTCCAGTAATCCCAGCCGCTGGAGCGTAGAGGAAGTGTATGAGTTCATTGCTTCTCTCCAAGGTACTGAGGGGGTCTCCTGCAAAACCCAGGTGTGACTGTCCTCAGGTTAACTCACGGGCCTTTGTGAACAGGAACAGAACTGAGGAGGAAGCAGTTGGGACTTGAGCATGGTAGTATAGAAGCTCTTTAAGTTGCTTGCCCATAGCTTGGCTAATTTCCTTCTAGGTTGACTTTGTCTCTTGCCATGTCAGCAGTTCTGCCATTCTTCTTTTCCATGATTCTCACCACTAATTTTTGGATTTGTTATGAGTGATTAACTGTGGTCCCTACCAGGAATAGGACTTTTTCCCCAAAGGAGGAAGGAAACTAAGGAAACACTGTTGACCTATCCTTATGGCAGGACTATTCTCCATAAAAGAAAACTGCCAGACTGGACCTCATGGCACAGGCCCATAATCCCAGCTGTCTTGAAAGGCTAAGGCAGGATTGCGGGTTCAGGTCTAGCTTGGGCAATTTAGGGAGACTCTGTCTCAAAATAATGTGTTATGTACACGATGAATGTATCATTACATACTGGAAATGTACTAAAAGGTGTGGGGTGGGTCCAGTCCCCACTATATCAAAAAAGAAAAAAACAACAACAAAGCACTATCCTCCTTGCTATTTGAATTCTGGACCCTTAACAAATGTTGCAAAGGCTTTTTTGTGTGTTTTGAGACAGTTTCATTCTGCATTCAGGCTGGCCTTGAACTTGTGATCCTCAGCCTTGGAGTGCTGGGATTATAGGTTTGTGCCATTATGCCAGCCAGCGCAAAGGCTCTTAACTTTAATGTTTTTTTCAGTACAAAAGAAAACATTTATTTTTGCTTTCTCCCTTTGTCCCCACTTGAATGATTCTGTGGTTAATTTATTCAGATTTTTTTATTTGGTGATACTGGGAATTGACCCAAGACCATCTCACCGATCTACATCTCCAACCCTTTTGAAATTCAGACAGGATCTTGCTGAGTCACTAGACTGGGTTTGAACTATCTTCCTGCCTCAGCCAAAGTATGGGATTATAGGCCTGCACCACCTGTGTCTGGCTAGTTCTTCCTTTCTTAATCTTTTAAAATTAGCTAGTAGCTCAAATTGTTTGTTGCCAAAGCCTATTATCTCAGCTAGGTGTGGTGGTACACACCTGAAATCCCAGTACTCTGGGAGGCTGTGGCAAGAGGATTACAAGTTTGAGTAATTAGATTTAATGACTTTGAATAAAAAAAAAAGAGCTGGAGATGTAGCTCAGTGCAAAGGGCCTAGGTTGTTCATTTCCCAACACTGTTAAATAAAAGCCTGCCATCTCTTCCTTTTATATAACAGAGTTGAGGACGAGTGATTTGGGTTAACCACTGCTCAGCCTGCTGCTTCATACTTAGTCTCTTCTATCTCTGGTGCTCCTGGGCATTTCTCATACATATTCTCGCCTTGTCCTAGGCTGCCAAGAGATCGCAGAGGAGTTCCGTTCCCAGGAGATTGATGGACAGGCTCTTTTATTACTTAAGGAAGAACATCTTATGAGTGCCATGAACATCAAATTGGGCCCTGCCCTTAAGATCTGTGCTAAGATAAACGTTCTTAAGGAGACTTAAGGTGGCCCTCTTGGACAAAGCGGCTGAAGGTGGACACTCCCGACTGTCCAGGCTACAACCTGGAACCAGCAGACTTTGCAGGGAGGAAAGCTGTTCCAATTATGTGACCTGGAGGGGGATTACTGAGCAGGAAAGAGAAGTGTAAGAATTGGTTGCTGGTGCTACATGGTGGCAGCTTTGACATTTTCTCTGGGTTTCATTTTATTTTAAAAAATCTTTGTAATTCTCACCATATCTACCTGCCCTAATGCAATCTTTATAAAGAGGCAGTCTAGAGAACCAGGACGGCCCAGCCTTATCCTGGAATGGAGCCTCTAGCCAGGATCTGTTCTGCAGAAGAGGAGTGTGCTGTATGGTAAGGCAAGGAAGTGGGTAGAATGTAGATTTGCCTCCCCAGGGGCAGAGGTTGGGTTTTTCTAGCTTGTGTGACACAAATAGCAAAATCTGGTACTCACCCTCTTCCCTCGGGATTGTCCCACGGTAGCTGTGGCTCAGTTTGTTATCACCTATTCCTTTAGTATTGAGTATTTCTCCTGCATTCACGGCAGGGTCACCAGCCGGTGTAGACTTGGTTGGCATCTTTCTGATTTGCTGCAGGGACTAAAAGCATTTGACCCGGCACGTGTGGCTATTGTCATTCTTTCTGAATCCCCCTGCTTCCTTCCCATTTTCTGTTGTCTTCTACTCTCTACCTTTCTTTTCAATTCCAACCTCACTCTGTCCTATAGCTTTATAAACAGGTGTGTGTGGGTCCAAGGCCAGGATTGTAAGTACCTGCCTTAGGCACTATTCCGTATACAACAAAATATTAAATATTTTTTCTTCCTTAGTAAAAGGGTGAAAATTGGTCTCAGTTGTTTCTTACTCCATTCCAGTATGTAGTCTTCTCTTTCACACAAATGATTAGGCCAACATGTTTTGTTTTTTTTTAATCATTCAGTGTTTTTGTACAAAAAGTGGTATATCTTTCCTTTTTTCATTTTAAAACACCAGGATATGGGGGAAGGATGCAAATAATAAAGGCGATGCTTTTATAACATTAATTTTCCTATTCAGGAAGGAAAAACCCCACAAAACCATTCCAATAGTATTGGAAAGTCCAAAGGTGAAAGAACATCATTTTCGTCCCTAAAGGCTTATAAAAGGCCTCTGCCTATTGATTCCATCCTTCTGGTGTCCAGTGGAGCCATGTTACTCACTGGTGGCCCAGGGTTCACTACTATAGGAAGATCAGCCTGGGATTCTGGGTACATGGCCTATACAGAAAGACAGAAGCATAAGAGGATAAAAACTTTTCCCACAGAAACGTGGGCAAGACACACTTCCCTGAGCCAGCAGCAGGGACAGGAGGTACAGTCACATCCACAGCCAGAGTAGAGGACTGCAGAGCCCGCGTGTTCCACTTCTGCTTCCATCCCCTTTCCAGAAGGCTGGGAGGAAAAAGCAAAACCACATGCTGGTAAAAAAAAAAAAAAAAA